AAACTTTTGTACAAGAGAAAATTATCGTCTGTAATAAAATGTACATGTATTCATTATTTTATACAGGTGCTAAATTCGAGGTACGAGCAATTGGTATCTCGGTAATCGTAATAGATACGAACATGGTTTAAATTGGGGCAAAGTTGCGCATTTTGGGATGTTCACCAAAATGCCTCAAAAAAGTTTTAAAAATTTTCAAGGATTCGTTGAGTTTTTGAAAAAAAAAAACGGATTTTTTGAAAATCAATTTTAAATTTATTTTCTGTCGTTGGCTTTTTATAGAAAATCAAAAAACTTAATTGTACTTCTCTTGGCATTTAGTTAAGCGCTCTCATTTCTCACATAGCTATAGTTCTGCTTCTCATACCGTTTGATATTTTTTCAAATTAGCTGATGAATTTGTGGGATACAGAGGCCAGTCCACTATAATTTTTTAAATACGACACTCTGCAACTTTTATCTCTTTTTTATTCTGAGTTACAGATAGATATCCCACTTTTATTTTTATTCTGGTTTCGGAATTTTTGTGGGCACAATTGTATTTTAAACTATTTTTTTTTTTTTTTTTTTTTTTTTTTTTTTTTTTTTTTTTTTTGTTGTTTTACATATTTGATAAAATCAAAAACTTAGTAATGACGTGGGGGTAAAACATTGAATACGGAACATTCAAATTGCAATAAAATAATATAAAATAAATATATTGTTTTTTTTTTTTTTTTTTTTTTATTTCAGATTTTGATTGATTTTACAATAAAGAGTACATAAAATGGCTTTCCCGGAAGATCTATTTCCAAGAAACCATATAATTCAAATTGAACGAAAATAAATCTTGTTGTCGGCCATAGGAGGAGTATTATCCCTTTTCGGAACGTGTTAGAAGCACTAGAAACTATTACGTAGAAGTTCTATTAGATTGGGCCATTCATAACGAACGATTTAATATTATGCAAGATTTACTTAGTCCATGCCACACTAAGACTTTCAATTCACAGTTAAAAAAGTTAAAAATTTAATATCTTTAATTGCTGACCTGGATATTATTATTGATCTTTCAATTGGCTCATTTTTCCTTATTCATGTTCTAATTAGCGCTTATCAATATTGTTGTGATGAATATAAGCAGATTTAAATTTTAAAAACCCAGAGTCGGACTTAAAATTATTTTAATTAACTACATTAAATCATCTACACAAAGAAATCCTTCATGGGTATTTCGCCACTGCACTGCCAGAAAAATCTAACGGAATAAAATATTTTATTTTTTGTAAACACTTCTCGTTAACCTAAACGGACACTGCCTGTCAGAAGTTATGTGTTTCACAGTAATAATATTGACTAACAAAGAAAAAAAATGCTTAACGTTTCGGAAAGTTTATCTCTTTCCGTCGTCGGAAGCAAAAAAATACAAAGAATAAAGAAAAAAAAACTATTTAAAATATTTAAAAAAGAAGAATGAAATTATTGAGCAAACCCACAGTAAGATTAAAATATTTAAATTCAAATATTCGAGAACACTTTTTTACTTTTTTTTTAAACAGATACGTCTACAAGAAACCGTTGACGTTCTGTTAAAATGACATTATTATCTTGCAGTGCAGTGGCGAAATACCCATAAAGGATTTTTTTGGAGAGATGAATCCGCCACATAGGTATAGACATTTTTTAATAATTAAGTAGTTTTGTTGTTAAGGTACCCAAAACAAAAAAAATATATAAGTGTGACATATCATTGTACTCGGGAGATTGAGTTCTTTCAAAATCTGAAATAAAAAATGCAGGTCCGTATTTAAAAAATATGAGTTGGCTTCTGTATCTCACAAATTATCAGCTAATTTGAACATCTAAAAATAGTATCAGATAGCCATAATAAAGTGGCTATGAGAATGTGGAATTAGTTTTTTGATTTTCTAGAAAATAACGACAGGAAAAAATAAAATTGATTTAAAAAAAATCCGTGTTTTCGAAAAAACTCAGCAATCCTTGAAATTTTTAAAACTTTTTTGATGGCATCTTGGTGAACATCTCAAGGCGCAACTTTGCCCCAATTTAACCATCTTCGTATCTATTACGGTTTCCAAGATACCAATGCTCGTACCGCGAATTTGTAGCACCCTGTATAGATTATAAAGATATATTCAAATCAGTAATATACTTGTAAATTCGCATTTGCCCATTTTGATTATATTTAAATTGGTTATATTAATTTAATATGTTAGTAGAGAATAATATGAATAATATGAAAAGATAACTCAATTTTTTTTATAAATAACATAAAGTAATTAACGTAAATAACTAGATATGTGAATTATACACACAACCAAACTTATATGGAATCACTCTTTATTTCTGACTAAATTTCTTATAAGGAAAAAATTGGTATACAACTTTGAAATAAGGATTTTTTTTGAAAATAAATATGATAATAAAGTGAATTTTGTATTCAGTAGTAAAATCAAGATTGTCTGGTAATTTTTGATTCGATCCATAAACAAAATCAACAGATATACGAGGTGGAAGAATTATTGCTCTCATTGAACAAGGAATACCTCAAAGAGACGGATCCCACAGTTATCTCGGCAAAATAAAATTGAGCCGCTAAATTGGTGTCTTCAACATCAAAACTGGAGAATTGTCAAAATGTTCTTTTTTCGGATACGACCAGAATAGGCCTAAAATCAGATGACTCCAGGCTGCCAAATGTGTACCAAGACATAAAGGAGGAACAGTAATGTTCTGGGGAGATATTATGTTGAGAGCAAAAACTCCCTTGTTACCACTTCAGCAAAGTTTAACGAGTTGGAGGTATGTTGATTTAGTGCTAAAACCAATTGTTAGGCTTTGGAGAGCTGCAGTTAGGGATAATTTTAACTTTATGCACGATAATGCACCTCCCCATACCAGCAAAGTGGCTAGAAAATGTCTTGAAATGGAAGGTGTAGCATAGTTTTGGACTGGCCTGCATGTTCACAAGATAAACCCTATCCAACACTTATGGGACCAGCTCAAAAGAAGGGTTAGAACTCGTCTAAACCATCCAGAAAATCTTGCACACCTTATTGATGCAACATTACCAGAATGGGAAAACATACCCCAAGACAACGTTGATAATTTAATAAGAAGCATGGCAGCACGGATAGAAGCTTGACCAAAGGCTGGAGATGGCAATACAAATATTTAAAGTTTATCAATTTTCTTTTTGTTTTTGCTCTTTGACCATTTTGACCCAATTTAAATCTCATTTCGTTTCAGAAACCAAAAAAAATAACATCGTGTTTATTTTGAAAACTCATTATTTTTTTTATTGCTACATGGATTTCGTTAAAATCTTTGGTAAGAACTGCGTTTCACGTAGATTATGAAAAATAATAGATAATTATAAGTTTGGTTGTGTTTATATTAATCAATTCGTGTGTGTGTATGTGTGTATTTTAAGTAAAAAAATATTTATTCTGTTAAATTTCCAAAGTAAATATGATTTAACATGAGTGGCCCAATCACTCTAAAATACTCTCTAAATATATTGTTTAAATATAAGCAATTATCAACTTAACATTATTAAAATTAATTGTTACTTTGAGTAAATTGTTTAATAATAATTCAAAACGATAGATCAATTCTATCCACCTAACGGTAAATCATTATATTAAAAATACAAAAATTATTAACTGTATTAGTACGATAAGTTCAAAGTAGAGTAAAAATGACTCGTGTTTCTATCTCATTATATTCATTTACTATTATGAATATTCGTACGTCAAAAATGGTACATTTTTGGCTTTCAAATTAATTGATAAATTAAAAATAAATAATTATTAAATTTAATGAAATGCATTAATAACAAGAAACACTGAAGTATAAAATATGATAATTTTACAATTAACTTTTTACCTACCATAAACGCCATATACGTGTTGCTTAAAGAATTTTGTAATTCCTGCAGCGTGAAACAATAAAATCAAGCATATATTTATTTTTGTCTTAATACTAAAATGACTAAATACATATTTATATATAAAAGTACCTTTTGGTTCTGAATTTGTCGATATCTTCACTCGATACTCTTGACTTCCTTGATCGTTGTACGCCTTCAAAATATAAACCTTCTCCGTATCCTGTTTGCCTATTCTCGCTATTCTTAAGACGGCCAGATATCTACCATTTCCCTATAAACGTCATTATTTTAGTATCATGGTAAGAAATAAGTTTTCTAAACAATTTACCAATTCTCTTGCAAATTCAGCCTCCATAATACCGGTGTTGTCATGACTACCTTCCCTGATCCTTTGCCCGTCAACGGTCCATTCGAAACTAGGCCTGGGATTAGCTTCCACTGTTACGTTGATTTCGCCTGTTTTTCCAATTCCGTAATCGTAAGCCTCAATTGTTTGTCCTTGGGGTAATGGAGCATCTAAAATCAATAGATAACGTCATATCTGTAGGTATTGTAAAACGTCCATGTAAAAAAACGTGCACATATTTGAAGAGAGACTTCTTACTAAGAGTTAATAAACTGAGGGATTTGAAGGACATGTTTGAAAAAATGTAGTTTGAAATGTTGAAAAGGTAATAAATAATTTGATTCACTTTCACAAAATGTGTATTAAAATGTCCGTCTGAGGACGGTTTTGGTTCCAATCGACCCATAATTAAGAGAAAAATCCTGATGATTTCGTTCATTTAGAAGCATCGGTTCGAAACGTCGAGGACGTCATCCTGTAGCCAGTCCCCAATTATGCCGATCGACCCACATTTTTCTTCAATATCAAATCGTTAGTTCTACTCTGACCAAGATGTAAACGACACGTCGTACCCAATGTACGATAGCTCGCATAGTCTACCCACCTCCTCTCCATAGTCACCAACCCCCCTTTGGTTGCGATCGGACCACATCAACTTTTGACGTTTCTTACGTCAAAACTAACTGTCACAGTGACATGTACACGGCCAAGTTGGCCATGGTCCAATCTATCGAAATATCAAATTTCATTTAAATCGGACTATATAAATTTTGTGGCTAGCTGACATTTTTATTAAAGAAATTTTGAACTTTGCCGGCGAATCAATATTAATTTGTTTCTCTGTAATTTTTCATATGAAATTGGTGGATATCGTTACACTAGTACTGGTACAAATAACAGACGCTTACATTTAATATCCAGCCTCCTTTTAGATTCGCCCACTTGTCCCGGATATGCTGGATGGTAAGCAACACATCTAAGGAACTTTCCATTGTCGGATGCCCTCAGTTTTCTTGTCAAATTTTGCACTTTGGTTAGGAGGTGTTCTTTTGCCAATTCTAAAATTGCAGGCATTGGAAGTTCGTCAATTGGTTCGTCATCTGAAATAACAAAGTTTAAAGTACATTATAGTATTGTTTGTAAAATAAACAAATAGTTAAGCAATAAACAGGAACAAACTATAGATATTTCAATTCTTACGGTTAGATATTCTCTTTGTTAATTAGTAGAAAAAAGTGCAACAACGCAACTATTGTAGAATTTAAATTTACAGAGGTGCACAGACTGGAAATTTCGTAAAATAAATCATAACTTTATATTAAAACACATAATAACAAGAGATTTGTTTCATTACTGTTAGATTTTTATTTTAAATGACCATTCGTAAATAACGTTATGCAAAATATGTGCACCGAAAACTATATGCAAATTTCTACACAAAGTCTAATTGAGTTATAATAGATGACCAGACCTATTTAGAAGTAACTTTGAACAATGAGTATGTCAACAACTTTAAGCCCCATATTTGATTTGCAAAGTATTTAATCAGATTCAGCTAAAAAATGAATGTGGCCGGCCGTAGCTCCAGCGTTAGTGTGTCGATCGGCGGAGCGGAAGGTACTGGGTTCGATCCCCAGCCAGTACGGTCGCTTTATTTATTTAAATGAAAATATTTATTTATCTAAATAGAGCGACCAACGAGCCGCCACCACAAGGAAGGCAATGGAAACCATCTTGAGTATATTTGCCTTTTACCAGGTGTCCCACTAAGAATAGCTCTCGGCTGTATCTCGGGAAGTATTGGCGGTAGAATCTGAGGAAAAAAATATTTATAACTAAAGAGGCCATGATAAATCGCTGGAAATTATTTTCAAGTTTGTAGAGTGGCTGCTAGAGGGCGCAACTGCTACGGCAAATAAGAAAATGCAATTTTTACAAAATTCTGTCTAGATAAGGGCTACTATAAATAATAGCTTCATAATCTTAAGAAAATTTCGGACTTTTTTTGTCAGAACCATTTTTCCCTATCTGCTAAAATAAAGTGGTGGGGGAAGGTTAGATCTGTTTTTATTTCAATGTTAATAACTCCAGAGTGGATGACCGGAATCTAACAAGTGAGGGCTCGTTTAAAAGAGCATTTCGTAGTCTATATAAAACTATATAAAAAATAATAACATGCCTTTAACAGTAGCCGCTAGAGGGCGCTGTCTTGCAATTTAACAAACAATGCGGGATTCCCAAAAAAAATAAATACAACGGTATATGTAATTTCAACTGATTGTAACGAGGAATAAAAGTTTAAGAAGTCAGTGAAAACCGCATCTTGATATCTATTTTCAATCCGAAGATATTAGCAAAAATATAATAAATACAAAAAAATTGCCCTTAACTATCTTATTTTTATAACACGGTATTAGTAGCCCTCTAGATTATGCCCATTTTAACAAAAAAATAAGATAGAAACAGTTATTTTATTTTAAAATCGACGAAATATCCGAATATCATAATACCAGATGTATTCATATCTAATAATTAAGATATTAATAACAGTGAACAAGAAACGATGATTCAGTGATGTCATGGTAGGCTTTGGAAAAAAGTTGCTTTTGACTACTGATACCGTGTTGTAAAAATAAGGTAATTAAGGGATTATTTTTTGGTATTTATTATAATTTTGCTAATATCTTCCGTGTGAAAGAAGATATCAAGATGTGGTTTTCGCTGACTTTTTAAGCTTTTACTACTCTTTACTATCAGTTAAAATTACATATACTATTATATTTAATTTTTTTGAAAAAAAAAAAAAAAAAAAATATGTTTGTTATATTGTAAGAAAGCGCACCCTAGTGTCTACGTTCTAAACCTTATTATTATATTTTATGTGTAATAATAATATAGATAAGATACCTCTTTTGAACGAACCCTCGTTTGTTGGATTCTGATCATCAGTCTGGAGTTATTAACTTTAAAATAAAGATAGATTCTAACCTTCCCCCACCACTTTATTTTAAGAAATAGGGGGAATATGTTCAACAAAAAAAATCCAAAATTACTGAAGATATGAAGCTAATTATTTATAGTATCATTATCTAGGCAAAATTCTGTAAAAAATTCTTATTTTCTATTTTCCATAGCAGTTGGCGGACCTCCTATAGCGGCCGTTTTACAAAAACTTGAAAAATAATTTCCAGCAATTTTCTCATAACCCCATTAGTTATAAACATATTTTTTTTGTATATATTTTATGGCTAATATTTTCCGAGATAACAGCGGTGAGCTAATTTCCTTTAATGGGACAACCCTGTAAAAGCCTCTCATAAGAATCGTTCGGATTCGGCCAAATAAAAATGTAGGTCCGGTGTACTTGTGAAACACTGATGACACACAATCACAAGTACATGCGAGAGGTAGCCGACGCTCTATTAGAGTATGGCAGTTGTAAGAAGAAGAAAGAAGCCAGTTGATTAAAAAAAAAAAAAAAATATTTTTGAATGAAATACTTTTTAACACAACTTATAGACAATAGGGGTGCCGATGCCGTACCGCCAGCAAGAAAACTGCCTACCAAAATCTCTTCTTTACGGTGAGGTTGTAGACGGGTAAGAGAAACCGGGTGGATAACTGAAAAGGTACAAGGATATTTTCCGCAAAAACTAATGGGATTAAAATGCAGAATCAGTGGGAGGAAGCAGCGTACAATAGAACGCAATGGGAGAAGAATTTTGTAAACTCAGTTAACAACGACAACGAAAATGTAAAAAGGCAACAAAGTAATTAGATTTTTGTATGTCCGGAGTTCCGAAAGAGATATAATATCAACGTATCGGGCTTTTCAGTTACAGAAAAGACGCCTTGAGTAACCATCTTTTGATGCGTATCAAATAATCGTCAGCGAATAATGGCAGTATAGTATGGTAGTATAGACATTAATTCTGGCGTTACTTTTGGAGATGCCATATCCTTCTTTTAATTCTTGATATGGGATTATAATCTTAAGTATCAAAATGAGATTTTTGGGAAATGTAAAATGTTTAGGACAAGGTGGTTAAGTGGGGAACCCGCCTGAAAGAATAGAATTTAGCTGGTCCCATTGAAAGTATATAAAGAAGTAAAAGAAAGTTCTTACCCTGACCTAAAAACCAAGTAATATTAGCTACTGGTCTGCCATCCCTAACAGTGCAGGAAGCTTCTAGTGTGTCATCAACTTTGCTGAGAGCCCGTTAAGGGGCGCGCGGTGATCAGTGTCCGTCTGCTGCCAAATTCCGAGCTGCGTCTGTGTGGTATTGGCAGGCATCTGATTAATAAGGTGAAGCGGCATAAATATACGTATAGATTACACTGTCATTTTCTAATGGGACAGTTATATAAGGAATGAAGATATACATCTTGCAAACTATAAAGAGCTCATGGTTCGATAGATCTGGGCTTCACTGAATAATTCCCGCAATGGGTACGAGTTGGTGATTTAGTGCCGTTAGTTTGATCGCTCTAACGCCGAGTGCTAGAGCTGTAAAACCGTACAAATTGGGGCTGCATCTAAGCCTCCCGGTAATATGAACGCGGGTAAAATAACACCATAAAGTAATTACAGTATTTCCCTGTACTAAAGAAAAAAAATCTGTTGACAAACTACCTAGCAATAAATTTGTTTGTTAATTATTAAAAAAAAATTTCAAAAGAAAACAACGACGAATGGTCAAAAGACACTAAATTAATAATGGGTGGCTAAGTTTATTAACTCTTAATTTTTATTAAAAACTATGTTGTTGCAAAAAAGCAAGGTTTTGAAATTGTTGCTATTTATAAAAAATAACTGGTGCTGGTCTTGAATCTAATCGCCCCTGAAGTCCAATAGTCCTGTCCAATATTTTGTTTCTAACAATGGCAATTAGTGCTCAATTAGCTAAAACATAGGGTCACTACAAATAAAGCAAATAAGCACTAAGTCATCCAACCAATAACACTAACCATTACTTTTGCTCTGAATGCGCATTTCGCTAAACCAGGTTAGCATCACATCAGCAGATGATTAAAGTTTATAATGAGTAAAAACGGCGAATTAAATCAGTTTTAAATATCTTCTGATAATGCTAAGGTTTCTTATATAGTTTGTTAAGTGTTTTGAACGGTATTGCGGTGAATTAGTATTTTAGTTTGCTGCTGTAATACACACATTTAAAAAAATAAAAAATACTTACGTTTCTTAAAAAAAAAAAAATTTCCCTGTTATTTAAGGGTGGTCTGTAATCCGGGAATTTCTACTCTACAGTATTGTAGAGGTACTGCAACTCTGCACATGTAAGAAACGTTTTCACCAGGTAAGACTGTTTGTTCTCTTTTGTCAACGTCAACTTGGGCGGCTAATATTGCTGCAACAAAAAAGAGATTCGTTAGAACTTGAGCAAAAAGTAATGTTACT